AGTCTGCTTCTCCCTCTGACCCTCCTCCCTCTCATGCTCTCTGTCTCTCATTCTCTCTCTCGCAAATAAATAAAAAATTAAAAAAAAAAAAAAGAATTACTTCTCATTTATTATGAACTAATCTGGTATTTGAGAGCTCTCTCCCTTCTTTTGCTGTTGCGCAAAAACAGCACCTCTCCTGAGGTCTCCACGTGCTTTATAATCATTGGTGTGGCCCCCCGCCATCCCCATCATCTAGACTAGTTTACTGTTATGAGGTGGATATAAAGTCTACTCCTAGTTTATGACTAAAAGATGGGGGCAGAAAGATGATGAATTGCCTGAGGTCATATATGAGCAAGTAAACTGTCCAGTTGGGAAGCAAACCATGCCTGTGGGGTTCAGTACTCATGCATTTATTAATGTTTGGTGGCAGACTTTAGGGGAGGCTTACTCTCTTAGTTATCTAGCCATGCACATGAATGTGTCCTGAGGACCCTGGAATTACACTTAGGTTTATGTGCTGTTTGTTTACTCTCACCATTGGTAGCCCTTTGCTGTGGCCACGGTTAGTTATATTGGCTCTCACGGGTATTTTGTATACGGTTTACGTTATCACTTCCATTTGAACAGATGAAAAGACTGCCCCTTAGAGCGAAGCTGGGTTTCCAGGGTCACCCAGCTTGTAAGGAGTGGATTAGGCCTTCAAACCAGATCTGCCAGACACTACCGCCTGAGGTACTTCCACTGTAACTCGCTTCCTGAGTTGGCTGATGAAACAAAGTCCACGTGACTTTTTTTTTTTGCCACCTGAAGTAGTGGGTAAAATATTTATTGAACACCTGTGCTGTCTAGGTGTACTGTGCTAGGTGCTCTAATAATAGCTTATCTCACTTCATCATCATAGTAACCAGGTGAGATATTATTGTCACCCCTCCCCGCCTTTAATGATGAGTTTTACAGATGTTACCTGACTGGTCCTGGGTCACCTCCTGAGTTAGAGGCAGAGCCCAGGTGCAAACCCAGGTTTGCTTGACAATAGAGTCCATGCTTTTATGCTCGTCTCGCACCTCCTGGCCTCACAGTCTTCTCCTGTTGCCCATTGGCAGGTGAGAGGTAGCAGAAGAAGGTGACGGGGTGAAGGGAAGAAGCCAGCATCACAGATCCAAGTCAGAGATGTGGAACTCAGGAAGGAGACAGCAGTGGGCAGGGGCGCTGCCTGAGCATGCTTGTGGGGGTGCTGGGCCATTCCTAAGCTTTACAGTGGAGTCCAAAGACGGGGGGTGTGCATGCATCAAGAGTGCATGGAGGTCTCAGGGAAAAAAAAAATCAAAACTGATCTTTGTTTTTATTTTAGCTTTATTTAATTTTTATTAGATTATTTTGTAATGTATACTATATATTACAGTAGTACATACATATATATGAATATGCATATATTGGGACATATACTCAAATTCTTGTTGGGGATGCAAATCAAAAAACATTTGGAAACCACAGATTTATTTGATATTTAGCATTTGTATCGAATATGTAAGGTGTGCTAACCATTTGTTCCTGCATTGGAAGGTTAGTGAAGTTCATTGTAATTCCACATAATCAGGGAGAAGAGTATTTCATATTTTTTTTAAACTTTTAATTTATTTGAGAGAGAGATTGTGCGCACAAGGAGGGGAGGGGCAAAGGGAGAAGCCAGCTCCCCGCTGAGCCAGATGTAGGGCTCCATCCCAGGAGATCATGAGATATCTGAGATCTGAGATCATGACCTGAGCGGAAGGCAGGTGCTTAACCAACTGAGCCACCCAGGTGCCCCAAGAATGGTATTTCATATTAATAACCAATTATAAATCATTTTAAAAATTTCAGTCACAATTTTGTGAAAAGGATCTAGTATTTTAATAGTCTTTATGTCTCAAGCAGCAGTCTTAAGTTTGGAGCTATAATGACTGATATATCCCTTTTGAAATTAAAATTTTGTTGAACCTCGGGCGCCTGAGTGGCTCAGTCATTGAGCGTCTGCCTTCGGCTCGGGTCATGATCCCAGGGTCCTGGGATCTAGCCCCGCATCAGGCTCCCTGCTCAGCGGGAAGCCTGCTCTTCCTCTCCCACTCCCACTGCTTGTGTTCCTGTTCTCGCTATCTCTGTCTCTGTCAAATAAATAAATAAAATCTTTTAAAAAAATAAATAAAATTTTGTTGAACCTCTCCTATTTTAAACCTGTTAATGTCAGTCAGAAATAAGAGAGACTAAAATAATCAGTTAACGTAAATGTGGTAGTTGTAATAGTCATATTTGTGCTGTTAACTTTATTTATTTTTAAGATTTTATTTATTTGACAGAGACACAGAGAGAGAGGGAACACAAGCAGGGGGAGTGGGAGAGGGAGAAGCAGGCTTCCCGTGGAGTAGGGAGCCCGATGCAGGGCTCGATCCCAGGACCCTGGGATCATGACCTGAGCCGAAGGCAGACGCTCAACGACTGAGCCACCCAGGTGCCCCTGTGCTGTTAACTTTAGAGTATTTGCAAATCTTAGATGATATTTAGATATATTGAAATTCCAAATACGTTGATTC